CCAACCAATCAATCAATCAATCAATCAATCAAAAAAAAAAATTAAAAAAAAATTGAATAAATAAATAAATAAATAAATAAATTAATCAATCAATCAATCAATCAATCAATCAATCGCGGGGGTCTCCCCCACCAGTCAATCAATCAATCAATCAATCAATCAATCAATCAACAAAAAAAAAAATGGCAACATCGAATCAATCAATCAAACAATCAATCAATCACAGGGGCGCCCCCCCCCCCCCCAAAAAAAAAAAAAAACAAACAAACAAACAAACAAAAAAAAAAAAAAAAAAAAAAAAAAAAAAAAAAAACGCGTTCTTTTTTTTTTTCTTCGTTTTTTTCTCCTGGGCAGCCCAAAACCCCCAACCAAAAGTTGTTTTTTTTTCTTTTTTTTTTGTGTGGGGGGGTGGGGCAGGGGATGTGCCGCCCAATGGCGCTTCAAGAATCCCGAACCCCCCTCCCCTGCGGCTGCCACGTGGCACCAAAGCCGCGCGTCCGCGCGGACGCGTCTGCGGCCTCGCGGACTAGCACTTGTCCGCGGCCGCAGGGGATTCATAGTGTTGCAGTGATTATTCAAACTTATTCCCCTTTTTTTTTTCTTTTTTTTCCCTGTTGCTGTGGTCCTTCCTTATAAAAGTGGCAACAGAGCAATTTGAAATCAAATGAACCGAAAATTACAATTAATATTTAACTTAATAATATAAGGATTAAAAAAAATGATGAAAATTTTAATTTTCGGAACAATGGAAATTTCAAATTTCTATTATTTCTTTGAAATAATAGAAATGACGCGCTGTTTTGATGGGCCCCCGCACACCCAACTTGTGGCCAGAAAAACGCCCATGTGCCCAGCCTGGCATGAACCCCAGGCAGGGTTCCCGGCAGAGCCCTGGCACCAAGCAAAAAGAAAAGAAGAAAGAAAAAAAAAACAGAAAAAAAAAATTGTTGTGTAGCTAGGCTACCAGAGTGGTCCGGGGTCACTCGCCCGGCTGGGCCACAAAAGAAAATAAAAATAAAAATAAAAACAATATTTTTAAATTTTATTTTTCATTCTAAATTTGGTGAAGAATTTTGATGTGACCCTGAGGCAAAAGATGTTCAGTTCATTTTTCTGCATAACATAAGTTTTTCTTTTTTTTTGTACTGGGACCTTCCCTGGTCCTTGCATGGGCTGGCCACCCGGGACCCGGGCGGCCCGGCTGGTAGCCCAGTTGTGTAGAATAATAGAATTGCAATACAAATGTGGCCTTTGGCTGAGTGCCATATCAGAATTCCTCAGGGATTTGAAGATAAAAAAAGAAAACACCAGAATCAGACTAAGGCACCCCCCCCTTTAGACCCCCCTTTAGCCCATTGAAAACGAATTTATACCCCCCTCCCCTCCGCCCCCCCCCTTGACAGCCAGCACTCGGAAAGGGAAGGGATCCCGGAATTGAGCTCGTCCAGGCATGCACAGGAAAACCCCACGCAGAGAAAAAGAGAACAGAGAAAAATGAAAAAGGGCTGATCTTTGCCTGCACGGGGTGCCCCGTGCAGGTGACCCCTGGGTGACTTCCCCGGGGTGCACGGCTGTGCTGCATGCCCGGGCCAGTCACGTAGCCTAGTTGAAATATAATTACAAAGTGGAAGACATTCCCTGCTGGAAAACCCATGGACGTCGAGGAACTGCTGCATGCACAAATCTCAGATGGGCCGGCCGGAGAGTCCCTACCTCCTTCGACTCCTCGTTATACAGAAGGGAAAAGGAGCAAGGACAAGGGAGGGAGGGAGGGAGGGAGACGGAGTCAGGAAAATGGAGGGAGGTAGGGAGAGGGACCGAGGTCGGGAGGAAGGGATGAAGAAATGGAGAGAGAGAGAGAGAGAGAGAGAGAGAGAGAGAGAGAGAGAGAGAGAGAGAGAGAGAGAGAGAGAGAGAGAGAGAGAGAGAGAGACCGACCAGGAGAAAAGAGGGAGCGTGCATTAGACTGCTTTGACTTATCTGAAGTTATTTCTCTCTATGAACAAAAAACTTAAAAAAAAGTAAAACACCCGACGGGGACAGCAGCGAATGCAGAAGCTGGAAGAGCACTGCCAATCACAACTCCTCGTCAATTATTCTCCTGATCTCTGACGTCGGTAGCAACCCCTCGGCCCTTATCGCATTTTTTGACTTCTTTTGGCTGACAAACACAATGGTCGGCAAACCTCGGATCTGCATCGAAGCCAAGATATGCAGCAGAGACAAACACACAGACTCA